GGATGGCCTACAATTTTTCTGTTTGTCAGTGTCCAATTGGCAGTATAACCCAACGGCGTATGACTTCCTGTGTCCCTCAGTGGACCAAAAAGAAAGTATTTGTAGTGCCTCTCAACCTTTTTTTTATGTTTAAGCAAAGGGACGATTTGATAAACATTATGTAAATATGAACAGTATAGGTTGTCTTTAATTGAACAGTGAATGGAAAGAAAAATCACACACGGTCAGTGTTTCAGTGTTTTATTCCTCCCGTTACATCGGCCAGTGACTCCTTCCAGTGAATAGCCAGACAAGGTTCAGGTATTAGCAATACAGGCAGACCCCTGTGTACATCTAGGCACTACAAACACAGGGAAAATGAGCCAAACGTATAAAAAAACAAAACTACATAACAAGAAAACAACTTTATAACCTAATAAACTTCTCTTGGGTTGCTATACAGATCCCTTATGGACCTTCAAACAACTCGCTTGCCAAGACACTTCGGAGCTATATACTGGTTCAAGTTCCTGAAAAAGGGTCAGTGACGGACATTTCAGTTCCGAGTGCATACTGGAGGGCTGAATTCATTCAACAGATCCCGGCTCTACCCACCCACCCATTACAAGCCACTAGGCTGATTGTTCAAGCTTTAAGCAGTACTTTAGACACCTTAAAAAAGCTTAAAGCATGCTAAAATGGCATGTCAGTCGGTATTATCGCCTGTCATTTGAGCATGCCTTAGGCCAGGGGGTCTCAAACCTCTGGCCCTCCAGCTGTGGTGGAGCTACAAATCCCATGAGGCATTGAACGATTCTCACAGGCACGACTCCCGAAGAGAGATGCATCATGGGATTTGTAGTTTCACCACAGCTGGAGGGCCGGAGGTTTGAGACCCCTGCCTTAGGCACTATTTAGCACACCTTAAGTGCCATTGCAGATTGATGAATCAGGGCCATTGTCCCTTTCAGTTTTCACAATAGGAGTAAAAGGTGCCCACACACCTTGCGATAATCGCGGGAAATCCCACGATCGTACGATTATCGCAAGGTGTGTGGAAGGCATGCGACCATTTTTACTGTACGGTCGCACAACTTTTATCTTAGGAACATGTTCGAAAACCCGCCAAGAATCGTACGATTGTCGGCGGGTGTGTGGCATGTTTGTAAGATAAATGCCGCACGGGCCGGTGTGCGCAACTGCACACTGCCCGTTCAGCATTGCGGTCATCGGAAGCCCGCCCTCAGCGGGGCAGGCTTGCGATTATCGCAAGTACGATCTGCCTGTCCAAGATGGGCAGAGCGTACGTTTTTTAAATTACCTTACAACCATCGCAAGACAAAAGTACATTGCCATGGTTGTAAGGTCTGTGGCCAGCATAATGCAGATCGGAAACCTTACGGCTGGAGTTCTTGTAACATGCAATTAGCCAGCAGGCCGTTCAGTCCAGTAGTGTGCAATCGCAAATGAAATATCCGTTTCGGGTGGACCGACCCTTTAACTGCCATCTCTCTATAATAGGCTAGGTATAAAGGTTACCTTGTTTCATTAGTCACCTCCTTCCTTCAGACTGTCAGTTTTCTTACAATAGAGATAACATGCCATCTCCTATCAGGGATCGTGTTATCAAGAAACTGATAAAAGTAAAGAGATGAGAAGTAAATTGTTGCTGATTTTATACTATACGTGAAATTCAAACAAAACTCTGCAAAGTCATTGCGGCCGAAAGCGCATTAGCAGTAGCCAGTTGTATTGAAGTTTTATTTTTGTAAGACATTGTAGAAAAACCACTGTTGGGATCAGGTTGCTATAGACAGCAAAGCTACGGTATTCCCATCGGTTTTGATGATTTGGATTCAATGTGTAAGCCATTTAACGGGCCAGTCCACCCACAGCTGATAAGTATTTGGCAGGTGCCGGAAAGTTCTAGTTCCTTCAGGCAAAACTTTTTATTTCCGAGTGGAGAAAACAATAGAGCATCTGTCAGTTGTTGCTGGCATATCTGGCCCCTGTTGGAGAGATTTTCCCTCACTTTGTTGTCACCAGAACAGGAAGTCGGGAGAAAACTACAAAACACAGACAGCAGCAAAAAAATTTTTTAGTAAAGCAAGACTAGGATCCATTCAAGCTTTTTACTGCGGTCCTTTTGGAGATTTTACCTCAATTCTTCTCTCTGTGTGACAACTGAAGTGAGGGGGCTATCTCCCTTATGAGGGCACGCACAGCAATGGAACCTCACAGAGATTCTTGCCTTTCTCTACTCTATCCAAAACAAAAACAAAAGTTTTGACTGGGGGCATTCTTTAATGCAAATCTGTCAGCAAGTTAAAAAAATAGCAAAAACCACACTCTTTATTATAAGGAAAGGATTCAAACTCACCTATCTAGCTGTCGGTTCCTGCGATCTTTGCTCTACTGCACAGCAACTGCCTCTTTACATCTGACATATTTCTATAGTTGGATGCCTGACTTCCCACCGTGATCTGTTATTCCCTCCGCCATCCCCTATGTCACTACAGGACATCTCCGGTGTTGACAGAAAGAACCACATCACGTGGTGGGGGAATGCAGGCATTCAACACTACTAGACGTGTCGAGTGTAGATGGCTGTAGCTCTTGAACAGAGCAAAGTTTTGGAATAGCAGATGGCAGGATGGGTGAGTAAAACCCCTTTACTTTCACTGGTTGTGCAGATTAACTCGGCAACGGAGGTCGCCTCAAAGCCCAGCTCTGGGTGCCCCACACTGCAAGGGTTGAATGCTCGTTAGGTCTAGGGACAGATGAAGAGGCCTTAATACTTGCCTTAACCCAACCCCAACACCCTGATGATCCGGACTGTGGGAGGTCTTTCGTCATCTTCACGTACAATGTAGGGCTATTGACCCTGCATTCCATGTGCAGGAGGCAGGGGTGGGACTGTGGCCGAGAACAACTTAGATAAGAAGTTTTGTAGGATCGGTCGCACAGATGGAAGGAGCCTGCTGGAGTGGGGAATAAGGCAAGTATTACAGCTAATTCCTCAACCCCTTGGCAAAAATGAACATTTAACCTTGCAGTGTAGAAGGGAAGGCCCGCTGCAAGGGTAGTTCTTTTCTTGTGCCCAGAGCTGGGCCTTAAACCAGCTTACAGTTTCTTATGTCCCTTGCTGAGATCTCTAATCCTGTTTTCCCAAGTGCACAGGGTCAAACTCAACACTTGGACTGATCGACCGCGGCAACTATCCAGAACGCTTCTATTATAGTAAAAGTGTAACATTAGATGGAAAGGTTGGGGGCAGCTCTAGAGTACTCCCTGCACTGAGAGAATACATAGGCTGTCTAGGTGAAATTTTTTTTTTTTTACTGGTTGTCTAGCCGTCATGCAGATCCAACTACTACTGAGTTGTTTATGCGAACAAGCTTAATCAGGAGTTGGCTTCACTCCTGATAAGTTAAAGGCCTTTGCTTGCTCCATGATTGCTCCATGTCAAAACCTTAGGCAATACAGAAGCTAGTGGCGGCCAGGCATTTTCAGACAATGGCAGAACCCAGTGTTTCTCTCAGTACAGTTTTCCTGGAAATCCTGTGATCGACTGGACTGAGCCTTTGGTCAGGACAGTGCTGAAGAACTACAAAATTATTATTATAAACATATCATCAAGAAACCAAATAAGGAAAAGATCCCTAATCTGTGAAAACCCAAAATCTAACTGGTGAACACCTCTGGTAGTCATAACAATGTAAACTGCTGAAAAGTAACATAGACAAACAAAAGTATTTGCTGTTTATTAGATATAAAATTAGACTGCTTTCTCATATTCTGTTTTCTATTATTGCGGACGTGTCAGTGAACAAATTGTCAGAGAAACCAGAAATCTACCAGAGATCAACCCAGAAACCTGGCTGTCACCACTGTGCTGGATGGGAAAAGATCTCACAGACAGCAGGAAAGACCCAGTCATGGATTAAACGCTGCCTTAACCCACCAAAAACAAAATTAAAAAAAGGGTTGGTTAAGAAATAATAATGTGTACATGTTTGTTGGCCTTTTTGTAAGCTTCTGGTCCTATGTCTAACGTAAAGTTGTAAAACTTTAAAGGGTCATTTCCCCCACAATGAATCCGTTATATGTTTTGGACACAGGACCGAATCCCTCAGTGCCTTATTAAAACTATTTGGGAATTGCAGCAGCATGACATGAAAATCCACTGCTCTATAGTGAAATTCTTTGACCTCCACACACAATGCAGCTTCTCCAATAGTACGGTCTATTCATATACAAATAAGTGGCGACATCACTGGGTATTGAGCCTGTGCTTTCATTGAGAACTAACAGCCACGCAGAACCCATAGGACAATGGGACCGAAAGTATGCAATAGAACTGCTAAAAGCTGACAGCTTTTGGATACTTTACATATACCACACACTCCAACCATGTCTGCTGCTGCATATATATTACTGGAGTAGTAGGACTGGTATTCATGGGTGCTTATGAAAGTGCCAGGCTATAACAGCCTTGGCGATCACATCTAACTGCAGAATGCAGATAGGGTTTTAGTGCAAGGCTGGACAAATCCAGGTAGCCAATGTACATAACGCACAGAAAAAATAAAAAAAATAAAAAAAATCAGCTGGCACATATTTTGAGCTTTTCGTATTGGTTCATTAAAACTGCCTGTTACCTTTTGGACCAGACTGACTGGCTCCTGATATCCAAACAAATCTGCTCACCACCTTTCTTATGAACCTTATAAGAAATAAACCATAGAAACAGCTTTGATGGAAGCTGAAGGTCTGTTGGGCTGCAGCTTTCATGGAAGTCTCTTCATGGGTACAGGCAAATAACGGTCCCACCTTGTTGAACCCAATGCTACCCACTGTGATGAACTTCTCAGGGTTGTCAAATTCCAATATATTTGAAAGCCTGCGTATAAAAGCTCTTAGATAGTTGCTAAACCCTCTGTACATTGCAGATATTAAATGATAATAACACTGAAAATGTGGGGGGGTTCCATCTTGGCCCATTCCATTGAAAAGCACCCCCCGGGCCTACAGAGAAAAGCGCCATCGGACTATCCTAGGAGTGTCCACAGGAAGATCTCACCAATATGACGTGAGGCTGTCTCTAACAATATTCAACATCTTGTTCGGTACTAGAACCATCTGCGGCCATATTCTGTGCAATGTGCAACAGATTTGTCAGCACAGAACTTCCCTCGTCCCTCTTTGGTTCATCAGCTTCCTCCGGCTAAGCTCCCATCATCCATCACAGTCACACGATAGCTCAGAGCTATTAAGGTACCAAAACATGGCTTGCCTTCTCTACTTCTCCATCTGGTCCTCGGTCAGAGATGTCACCTCTATGGTGGTATGCTCCTCCTCCCCATCCGCTGAGTCACAGGGCATGGCTACAAAGGTACTCCCGGCTGGTGCTAACTGTGCCAAGTTCTGTAGGGTGGCACCCAGCCCTGGAAGAGTAAGCAGCTGGATGGGGCTCATCATTTTAAGAACAGTGTTGCTGTCTTGTACAGCCGCTGTGCTCAAAACAGTGAGGTTGGATGAGTCGGGGTGAATTTCCAGAGTGCTTGGGAAGCTGCTGCCTGAAGGGGTGAGGATAGTGTAACCTCCCAAAACTGGGGAGGAAGGTGCGCTGGCTTGGGAAGTTGAGTTCTTGGTAATGAAGGTGGAAGTGGAGGATGAGGGGATACTGGTGGTGAGTACTTTACCGAATGGGATGCTGGTCAATTGAGAGATAGACATTCCTTGAGGAAGGGTGATCTGCGTTGGCTGAGAAGACATCTGTGAGCTTATGGCAGCTGGGCCAGAAGTTGCACGGGTTAAACGTGGCCGCTTGGTTGGAGGGGGCATGCTGACTGGGGTCAGTGTCATCAGCACGTTGTTGAGATGTTGAGACTTGTGCTTCAGCTCCTTGGCTCTTCTTCGGTGTTCATCGCACTGCTGCTCCAGCGCTGTGGGAAAAACGATCCCAACAACATTTATTTTTTTTAAATTAACACGATAAATATTCATGTCCCATTTTCATAATAATATATTACAAACATATCTGTAGCCACAGAATGGAGCCTCTCAATAAGCATCCTCTTTCCACAGCCACTCAGACGAGGAAACCTGAATAATTATTTCGTTTCTTGTGCAGAGAAAGGGTAATGTAGGCCCTGCACATTTATCCTAAGGCTTTATCTAACTTCTAGGTTCAAACTAACACGTCGATCTTCTCCACTGTCTAGTCTGTTACTAGGGTGTGAAGAGAAGTATTTGTGTATATACTTTGGCCATTAAAAAGTGGCTAGCAATTATTAAGAGGAATAGTAAAGCACTGCACAAACTGTTTGCGTTATATAAATCCAGTATAATAATAATAATAATAGTACCTGCTAGATCTCTGGTGTACTGCTCTCTAGAGCGATCCATCTGGCTTTTGTTGCTGGCCAGTACTTTCTTAATTAAATCCAGCAAGCCGAAATTCTGGACAATGTTGTTGAGCAGCACAGCGTCTAAAAAAGAGAAAAGGATACCGGCTGAAAGAAAAGAAAAGGTTTAATGGTGTCAAAAAGATTTTAAAAAGGACTTACAAGGCCCAATCCTTGCAGCCTAATCACATATAATCTGACACTGGCTCCAAATAAAGGGTTCAAGAGGAAAGATTCCTGTAAGTCTACCATTTATTATTGGTTGGTTGAAGTTAGTCAATCTGTTTTGTTTGAGAAAGAGCTAAGGTGAGTTTATAAAAAAAAAATAGGGTTGCACAGATACTGAGTACAGTACTCGGTACAAGTACATGTACCGATACTTTTGAGCTCCAAGACTAGACTAGAGAAAAATTCAAAAATTAGGAGGCAGCTGTCATTTATAAGGAGCACGCAGAGCTCCCGGGATTTGTACATCTCTGTTTTAATTCCAAAAATAAGAGTTAGCCATGTCTTACAAAAATTTTCAAACAAGCCAAAAAATGTCTATTCTTGATAACAAGCACTTCCTATGGCAGAAGTGGTCATCACCACCTTCTAGGTGTACAATTAAAAGGCCCAGGTGATGCACTGAGATGTGAGAGATGTTTGTGGCCAGACTTAAAACACCTAAAAAAATAAAATTGCTCACTTCTTGCATTAAAACTAAGGAGCCATCATTAAGCTGGCCAGACATTACAATCTGACTGCACAAAGTTTACCTAGAACTGTAAAGAAATCTAAACTGATGTGGGTTCGTAGAAGATCGAACGTATTCACAAAAATTGTAAGACCTTGTATGAAACAGTGATTTGATAAGCTGGCATCATTTTCATCAGACCTGAGCAGATTATGGAACGGACCGCACGCCTTCAAATCTACCCATTCTATCCATGTTTCTTTTAACTGCAAAATAAAATATCCTTTATACCGCTTGCAGCACTTACCTCCGACCGTAGTGGTCCAGTCTCCGGTTCCATCACACGTCTCTATAGTAATAGTTGCTGGGCTCCCGTTAACAGTGAAACCTGTGCAGGAGAAGAAATGTTAAACAGCAGGTGAATCTATTATGTATGCCAGTGATGGAAAGCTAGCCGTCATGAGTTCTCTGAAAATGATAAATGCCTCGACACCATGCTGATCCTTTGCAAGATTCTGCATACCTGTTCTAGGTATGTTTCTAGCAACTACCAAACAATGAAACATGTCTTCTCGGTGGACTGAACCTTTAATATGCTTACAGATATTAGATGGTGCTTGACCAAGCGCACTAACCAGCAGCGGAAAGAGCTTTCGAACAAAAGATTTCTGCACATACATGCACATTTTAATATATGGAATTTGACGTGCACTAGAGTGCTGGCTTATCTCAGGGAATATGCATCAATCAGCCAGCAAAGCCCATCTTGGTCAATTCCTTTGTCACCCTAGAACACTCATCCAGAGGTTAGTGCAGAGGATCTACAGGCAAAATGTTTTTGTCAGAGCAACGTACTCAACTACATATACAGGAGCATTTACAAAAGTCTGTGGCTGCTGTATAGGTTGACCAAAACAAAACAATACAAGGCTAAATTTTTAGTAGTATTAATTCCATTCATCACTGAAAAATTAACTTCAACTGTTAATATTACACATCATGCTAAAAATTGATGGAGCATGCTCAGGGAAGGGCTGTAACACAAACCCCTTAATAGAAAAGCTGCCGAGTCACCAACAGCAGAGGTAAATTTGGCAGAGCATAACCTCCAGATAATCGCATCCGTACAAAAACAGGGGGTGAGACATGACGGTTCAATGTTTCCTTAAACACTGGGTGGAAGTACCCTTAAAGTCACTAACAGATCTTGGCTGACACTACCATGGCACCTGGTATTAAACATTGACTTACTGCAAGTTCATAAATAAGGTTATAGAGATATATATATATATATATATAAACATACACACACACATTTTCTGATACTGGATGAAGCAAGAGTTACTCCAGAGTCTCCACTTACTGTCACTGGATGTGGTGGTGATGGGAATATACTCCGTGGATACCTGGCTGCAGAGAGAAACGCGGCTCCCTGTCACATCGATCTTGGTGCTCCGGCAGGTATTGGAACAGACCTTGGAGTGTTGGTAGAAATCCAGCTCCCCTGAATCCATTATTTTCCTGGTGGAAAAAAAGAATAGGACCTTAGAAGGTATGCTCTAGTCAAACATTAATCCAGGGTACGCAGTCTTCCCCCTAGCTTGTTCCACTGGTTAAATCCCTATGGCTATCAGTAACATTATTTGATTAAACCTGAATCTAAAGCTGGCCATACGTGGATAGAATTTTGCTTATTTCCTACTTAATTAACCAAAATTTGATCTGTGTGTGGCTCTACCAGCACCACCCAGCTTGGCAAAAGTCGGTTTCAATCAATCTTTTTCGAAGGAGCCCGGTGGAAAATTGTCACTCGAACAGCGACTGCAGCCAACCAGCTGCTGTCATGGTTTGGGTATCCTCATAGTATAGGCGGTGGCTGTCAGAATAACCTAGCCGGCAGGGGAGATTGTTTCATCCACGCTATTTAGCATGCAAAGGACAAAATTAAAAGATTTAACTGTGTATGGCCAGCTTAAAACTGAGAAAATGTAGCCAGTGTGTTCTCGGGTTCCAGCAATGCACACACTCTCTAAATCTCACTTCGGTTCAACACACACTGGAGCAGAAGACTCCAAACACTGCAAAAACAAAATGGATTTACATTTTACGATATTTATCAATTAATTTTGGGATTGCATTAAGTTCCAGCGGTAAAAATGATATATAGGACTATATCTGCTTAGTCATTTGTGAACGCTTTTTGGTTATATCTTTGGGCTTAATAATGCATTTAGGATGTTTCTTTATGTGTATTACAGGGCAGGACTAGACGCATTAGCTATTTTGTTGGAACATAAATAGAATAAATTAACAACCCCTCATTGTATTATTAAACTAGCTGAAACTGAGAAAAAGACAGCTAGCTGATAAAACAAAGATCAAGAGTTCACAAAGTAACTCCATGTTTTGTATACATGGGATGAACAGGAGGCTAAACAGGCTGTACTGCAACTTCCTCTCCACCCGCTCTACTACTATGATGTTTCCCAAAACACCAGGCCCTGTTCCTACAGATTACACAGTACACTGTACACAGCAGGGACAGGGATACAGCAGGGTGGAAGGTTAAAGTGACCTACGCCATTCCACCTAACAGTACCTGTGCATAGAGGAGGTTGTAAGCTCGGTATTGCTCCCTCTCTCATTACACAGCTCTCTAGAAATCCAGAGAGGAGCCAAAAAACTCTGTGAAAACATACATTTAGCTTAATTTTGCTTTCCCTTCCTTTCCCCAATGGCTGAAATGTGTTTCCTTTTGGTTAAAAAGGCAGCATCCAATCACAAAAGGAGGGATGAGGTTTCAGTATCCAGAAATGTACAGGAGCCAACATTACTTTCAAAAGTCCGATTTCCACTCAGTTTTTACAGCTGCTATGTTGGGACTTCTAGAAATGCAGTGGCATGAGAGAAGAAGCAATAAAGAGCTTACAGCAGCCTCTAGGCACAGGTTAGATGAGATAGTAGAAGGAATGGCGCGGTTCATTTTAACATGCTCTCACTTTACAGATATTTACAGATACTTTACAGATATTGGTGGAGGCAGTAAGGTCAGAGACAGCCCAGAGTAAAATTAATAAACAATTCTATGTAAAGCTTTAAAGAACAAAGCTATATCATTTGTGTAACTGGTTGGCAACATGTAAATAGACTATGCGCCCCACGCTGCTTAACTTTTTACTTTTTGCAAAATACAACCTAGCTTTCCCTGTCTATGTACTGTTATGGAGGGGGCTGGGGAGTTTTCCTTAATTAACCCTGTCTGTGCTGTACCAGTAGAGGTCATTATTAATTGAACACTTGATGTGCAAACTCTCTGTCCTAACAGAGATAAAGACATCAAGACTTGGGTGGTACAGTGTATATTAATACACTTTACAAATGTCCGTTTTCTGTCCCCTGATTGCACATTGAAGCTTTCTGAACTATTTTAGGTTGCCTATAGAGTCTGATGTATAAACCTGCTTCAAAGAAACAACTAGAAAGCTAAAAATAAGAAAAACTATTTATAGGTATATGTAGTGCGAATTGGAAAACAAATAATTAACCCATAATTAACAGCAAAAGTGGAAATGTAGATAAACATTTGTCCATTTTTAAAAGAACCACTAGATGGCATTGTACTACCAAAGCTGAAGAGTGTAGGCCAGATTCCCTGACACATTTATAGACATTTGCTGCTAAATGATGCTATTTGAGTATAATAAACTCTGTATTTTGGTTTTTATTTTATTTATGGGAAAATACTTTTCCAACTGCTTCTGGGCCGTTACATGACATGGGGGCTTTCTAGCATATCTAATGCACACAAGCAAAAATGTAATTGACAGCAAACCTCCAACTAATGGCTGCCTGAAGAAAAATACCAGGGGCAGATAAAAAAACTAGTCAGCCGCCACAAGGAGAGAGAGCAACAGTGACTGGTCTTTATTACAGGAGGGGGGTGGAGACAAGACCAGTCACCCTGCACAAGGAGAGAGAGAGCAGAAATAATCGGTCTTTATTACAGGAGGGGCCGGAGACAAGACCAGTCACCCTGCACAATGGGAGGGAGCAGCAGTGACTGGTCTTTATTACAGGAGGGGGCGGAGAAAAGACCAGTCACCCTGCACAAGGAGAGAGAGCAGCAGTGACCGGTCTTTATTACAGGAGGGGGCGGAGAAAAGACCAGTCACCCTGCACAAGGAGAGAGAGAGCAGCAGTGACCGGTCTTTATTACAGGAGGGGGCGGAGAAAAGACCAGTCACCCTGCACAAGGAGAGAGAGAGCAGCAGTGACTTTATTACAGGAAACGCAATATTTATTCCGCCCCACGTTTAGCATGTCAAAGTGAAATTAAACAGTTAGGCAAATCAAGTAGAATAAATAATTAAACCAACTGAAGCTTGCATAGAAATGATTGAAGACTCATGGTTTGCATTACCTGCATTAAGAAGTACCTATATAAGAGACATATAAAACAACACAATAAATCAAAGCTCACATGCACAAAACATTAGGTATTGTAGTCTTCAATGTGTACACATAATCTAACCACTTACCTGAGCATGACTCCATTCATCCTGATGGCTCTCTTCCAGTCCTTTAAGGTAGATTTTCCAGCCAAATGCACAAATTCTTTCGGACTGATCAGATGGTCATTATACTGAAAAGTGACGAAAAAGAGGATATGATGAGATATTAGATAAAAGACCATAGGGTGGAAAAAGGCGTGTATACGAAGAAAGGCCCATTGACGCTCCCCATGTATCTTATATTTTTGGTTTTGCCCAAAATTTAACAAAGTTTGGAGTCACGTCTGGAGTCTATTCAATAACCTACTTAGCTGACATAAAATACATTAAGATTCCCGCTTATATGCAACTCTCACCTAATGTTACTTATGACCATTATACTGGATGTAAACTGTACCATTTCCTGAATTTACTTCAAAAAGTCTAAATAAAGTTCTGCTAAAAAATAAAAAAAAATAAAAAGGTCAGGGCCGGCAGTGAAACACTGAAATATATTTTAGTGCTTTTGAATAACAATAATGCTCAGTAAATATAGTACAGGACCCATTATAAGTGGACTCGTGCTTACCTGCACACACTTGACATTGATCCCTGGGCACACAAACTTCCTCCAGATCAGGTTGGCTTTGCTCTCTCCACAGGTGATGGCGTAAGCAATCTCTGCTTCAAGAGTTTCCTCTTCCTCGTCCCCCATCTTCACTTCTCAGCCAATGTCATAGGCAACAAAAAAAAAAAAAAAGAACAAGATTTCTGTAAATCTCTGGTCCACAAAGCACTGATGGAGAAAGCTCCCACACCAGCAGTCTGTAGCTGTGTGTTATATGAATGGCCAAGAGGACAGAGGGCAGAGACACGACACCAGGAATGGAGACTTTCAGCGGTCATGTCAAGAGCTGTATTATGTGGGATAACTAAAAGATCTCTTTTTTTACCAGTCTGGAGAAAGCCTACATGCTGTTATGTTATAGCCGAGGTAAACACTTAACAGCTCTAAACCTTGCAAAAGTATTGTGCCTGAGCTTTAAAACAAAAGAATATGGACACCGGCACTCCAATAACCGGTACGTCTATTTATTGACATACATGCAAAAATGTTAGCATAGCACACAGTGTGACGTTTCGGGGTCACACAGGATCCCTATATAGATCTATAAGAGGTGCACCGAAATGGAAATTTTAAAGCCGAGATAAAAAAATGGTCAGGCCGAAACCAAAAATGTTTTTTTTATTTTAAATTGCTTCAAATTTTTTATTTCTTTTTTATAAACGTTTTAATTTGTTATATTCCTTTTTATTTATTAATTCATTTTTTATACATTACTTTTAGGGGCGTCGGGGAAATATT